GCGCAAACGTTCCACCCCTTTCGCCAACGCGGAGATGCGTTGGCCCGTGAACTCACCGATAATGCAGAATTATAGTCCATGGCACTGCTGGAACCTCCCTTTTCGAACCAGCCGTGCGACTACCTACGAAACGCCTATCATCGCGCGTATCGAGGCGTGAGCAGGGGGTTGGTTTGCACGCACATATTACACCTCGGTGATTACGCGTCCCATCCCGACCTGCCCTCCCCCCCTCTACCGTGGCTGGTCCAAGAAAGATCTCGCCGGATTTTGCGGCATTTCCGCAATGCTGCGTGTCCTTTCTGCAGCAAAACGCGTAAAGGTCTCTCGGATATCTTTATGGCTTTATGGTCTTCATTTTTGTGACGCGCCTGATCGGATAGCTTCGACAATGGCCGAGAATCAAATTGCAGCGAATGCTGCAGGAAAAAGAAAAGATAGACAATATACATATTAGGAAATGGACGATAGTTGATACTACAATTATAATTAAAGCAAGTCAATAAATAATTATATTATAGTTATTAATATAATGTATAAACAGCGACATTTTAGTTTAGGACCCGGTTAGTTGCAAACGTAATCGTGACGTTGGCGGAATTAAATGTAGCGAACGAGAGCAACGCGAGACTTTCATTGCGCCGTACAGGCAATGAAAATTACAATTATCTCAAATTAAAGAGACATACGTTATAAAAAGTTTGCGGTCAAAGCGGATAGCGAGCTGAGATTACTTTTTCTCTGCAATTATATAGTGACATATCGTAATATCGTAGAGCGTATTACATTATAAAGTTTTTGCATTACACTACTTTTTCGTTCTCGTGTCAAAAGCAGGTAAATTATATACGTTTGGTCGTCAGACTAATAATACTTTTTTACTAAAAATAATATAAGTTAATCCGGGTTTTCATAAATTATTATTTGTTGCAACTGTTATAGAACTTTACATGATATTTTCCTTTTTATTATCTAATCTTAAAGCAATCGATTGAATGCTCTTCTCTATGTAGCTCTTCTTTGCTTCCTTTTCTTCTTTCTAACAAAAAGTAGATTTGTGACGTTAAGCGCGCACGCACGACACCCTCTCTCTCTTTCTTGCATTGTGATTTGAGAGTTACAATAGAAACTGGTACAATAAGGCGAAGATTTGATGTATAATTCTTGGGGATTCTTACAATTAGACTCGCGCCCTAGGGATGAACTAGTAACAGAGATTGTCGAAACCACTGGCCATCCCCCGGGGAGCTATCACCATCGCTCGTTTTACCCTCGTTCCAAACCCTTGATATTATATTACAAGCTTGTATAATACGCGCTTGAATTTTCATAAAGATTTACGAACGGAATCACTGTAAGTGAAATTAATGACAGGGCACAGGGCTATACGAACAGTCGTGTTAGGCGAATAATTTGAATAGATCTGAATATAAAGCTAAATTGGCGTGTTCGACGATCCGAATTACTTGAATATTCCAAGTATCGCGCTTTTTACAGCGCTCTAATGAAGAGCCGCATGGCCGAATGATCCCGTCGATTTAAATGACAAATTTGCTTTGTAAATTTCAGTAGAATATACGTATAATCGAAAATGATAAAAATAACCATGTCCGTAATATAAGTAATATCGTTTTAACTCGTAACAATCTCATCTGTAATCTGTAATCCCCCATCGAGTCTCTCCGCTCTGCTCGCTTATCCTATCCTTATATCTAATCTTATCTATGGATTGACGACAATTGATTGCACCGTGGGGACCATTTTATATGGGTTAATTCGGGGTAGGCGAATGTCCTTACCCGTAATCTGTGTGTTTAGCTATATAGTATATACCCTCGCTTTCTCTAAATTTGTCCCTTGTTTCTCGGCACTTTGTTTCAATTCGCCCGGGGCGCATGTAGTCTCAATATGATTTATTATTGCTCGTCATAAAAAATAAATTTATCGCGTTTAATTATCTGTCTTTTAAATACAATAGAGTGCACAAAATCTAAAAAAAAAATTCTCAAGAATTATTAACTTGGAATCTACGATAAGATATCAATGCAATGTTTTTGGAGAGCGTTATCATGCGTTATCCGGGCGATTGGCTGCAATTGGCCAATGCCACGTGCGTGTGAAATGGTTTTAAAATGGTGAAGATACGCTCGAACGGTCTATCAGGCAGCAGCAAAAGATCTCATGGAGCGACGTACACGTCAATGGCGTTTGAAGTTTGAAGACCGTTATTAAAATTCAGCTCGTCAGATTAAACGGCGCTTTCTCTAATATGTATGCTGAATATGCATGCCTAGGTAATTTTACAAGAAGCCGTAGAGATATAACGAATGAATACAATAGCCGTTTATTGACGATCGGCTGTATACGTCGAGCGAAATATTCGCGATTTAAAGAATTTTTAAATAAGCAGCAAAATTTTAGATCAATAACATAATAGCGGGAGAAATACGCAATCCAGGTAAACGTCGAGTTTTTACTGTTAAATCAGGACGAGGATATGTCGTTCGCCGTGGTATGCGTAGAACGCCAGCAGTAAACCTGCCAGTATTACATGGTAAAGGGTTCGGTAAAACCGGAGGAGTCGAACGTGTGGAAAACCTATAGAATCTTTTTGCCGGAGCGCCGCTCGTTAAGCTCTCTTGAAAACGGATAAAAATTACGGATCCACGGATCTCTAAATTCCTCCCGGCGGCGGCAAAAAGCAAAAGCGCCAGAGCCGATTTACGCTCTCGCCACATTCGTAACATTGCGAGGTATCATCAGACGTCGCATAATTCGTTAACAAACGACTTGGACCATTTTTATGTTGGATCATCATTGTCCTTAAAATAAAAAATTAAAAAAGAAATTAAATCGATTTGGCTGCAACTAGCTATGATCGCGGATGAATTGAATTCTTGGAACCTCGGATAATCGCCGGTGTTATAATCGCGGACCAAAGATTTCCAATTATGAGCGTTTTTAGCGAGTACTATAGCCGGTATGACGCGCGGTTGGGAATGAGGGAGCGCGAAGGAGCCGAGGCGAGGGTTCGTCCGTTCAGTCCGTTTTCCGCGAGAGAAGGGGGAGGGTTTCGGCTGGACGTGGGGACGTAGATAGTGGTTTTGAGAGGGTATGGGTCCGGCGTTAGAGACAATAGTAGGCGGACAAAAGCGTGATATACGGCGACCCTCGGAGCAGCGGTATTAAAATCATATTTTTAAGCCCTCCACCTCGGGGTCGCGGGGAGAGCCGTGGGGTACCCTTTCCCTGCCGGTCGGCCGGCCGCCTCTTTTAACCGCCGACCGCCGACCCCTATCCCGCAATCCACGCCGGACCGCGAAATGGCAGAGGACGGGCGCTGTCTTTGCGGCGTGCGGCGTGCGGCGCGCGGCGTGCTCGGCATCGCCGGATTTAATTGGATTCGCTGGCCGTAATTAATGCGCCTACCGTCGACTAAGACGGACTGTATTGATTTACTTCCAATATCATCCCTCGCGAGACAGCCCGGCCGGAGTCTCTCCAGTCATTCCGAGAGAAAATTGCCCATCACGCGAGTCCGTGCGTTCTTATTGGCGGCACCGCTTATCTTACTCATATTAATATATTTTATTATTAAGTCAGTTACTAAACTGTCATTATTTTCTATTAGTGTTTTTATATTTTATGATGTATAATTAGAAGCATATACTTTATAGATTATATACATAAGTCATCCGTTTCTATAAATGTTTCGACATTAATTTTACCCCGGTCTCAACGACGTTTTTTGAACTCGTGGCAAGAGGAATTATGCGACGACAGTTTCTATCCGTGATGTTTTCATAAATCTGCAGTCGTCGCGTCGAGCAAGAAAAAAATAATTTGATGCTCTTGAAACGCTTATGTTCACACGTATGCTATCCCGGGTGCACTTCATTAAAACTTTTAAATTTTGCCTCATCCTCATCGTTTCGCAGGGTAACTCACGAAACGGGAGAGTTTCGCTATGCCATGCCGTGTGTCGCGTAGCGTTGCGCCGCGCCGCGCTAGCATGAATTTGCCGGTCCCTTGAACGTCGTTACGTCAGCCGCGACTCTCGCGTAGTGCTTCTCTGCATAGTTTCTCATGTAAGTGTCTCGCTCTATACGTATTTCTTTTACTCATACGCGCAACTATGCAACTCATGTATCTTGTTGCAAACTATCGCAGTCGTGCGGTTATCTATGATATCGCTATGATGGGAGTGCGCGAAGACCTAATCGGTAATTCGACTTTGTTTATACCCCGATCGCTAATCTTAAAACAGACTATATCCGCTCTCGATTTTCGTAGCTGCATATCGCTTGAATTTTTATACGAGGAGTACGAGAAAACGCCCTTTTCATCCTTGACACATATTCTTTCGCGTTACCTTTCGCGTTTACGCAAGAAATCGCGCCATGAATATGTGTAAAATGCATAGGTATATAAACTTATCCAATCTTCCGCGATCAATATTAATTGTTTTCTTCCTAGGACTAATTGGGCGAGATCGCTCGATATGACGATCTATATTTAAGGATTAGGGTCCGTGTTATTTCACTTGTGTTAATCTCCTGAGGATCTAAGGGCCGCCCGACGACGTTATTAGGCCCCGGATGACACGAGGGTCGGACGTCTAATCGACCTAGGAATAATGTGCCGGGAACTTGGTCCCCGGCCGAGCTTGCTCCGAGGGATATTCTAATCCGCTTCTGAGAGCTCCTATACCCGCTTCTCGCAGAATCCAACGGGGAAGAGGAAAGCGAGAGGTGCCAGCATTGCCAGCCGTATGCGCTATGCATGCCAGCCAGCCCACCACCCTCCGCTTATTCGTCGCGAAGCTCACGCTCGCGCGAGGATAGACGGCGGAGTATAGAAGGTGAAGGAAGGGTTGAGAGGGGAGGAAAACGATAATTCGGCTCACTCGGTGCATGCTCGGTGGTTGAGCTCCGAGAACGGAGACTCGAGTCTCGCTCTCGGGTCTCAGGGTGAGCAACTGCGGGCCATTTTCTACCTACCTTATACTCGACTCTTCCTCTCCCCTCTTGATATCGCTGTTAGATGGCGACTACCGAAATTCCGCTAATCTCGATTTACGGCACCGCGGCAAATCATATGTGCCTCCGGCAGTTCTCCTGTGTGTCTTCGCGTTATTAGCCGCTATTAACGCTGCCGCGTTTCCGAACCATTGGCTGTAGACGTTGATTGCGCGCGTGGTAAACGGCTTGACATTCCGCAAGCCATTTACTCATCTCGAAGATTTCAAAGACATTTATTACGATCATGTTAGCGTATATGGAAAGAACGGTTTTGCTGAAATGTTAAAAATTTTTGTTAGATGCATGTAGATCTGAAAATAATTTTGTTGAAAATAGAAATTAAAATAATTCTATAAGGTGCTCAAGCACATGATAATATGCTGTAAAAAGTTTTAACATTCTAACAATCAGTTTGAGCGTCTTACATAATTATTTTGATTTCTCCATTTTGAACAAAATTATTTTCAAATCTGTATCTAGTTAAATTTTTTTTAATATACTTAAACAAAAACCGTTCTTTCCATTCCGTATAGACAGAGAATAGTCGAATGATGAACATGAACTAGCTAGTGTGTTTCTTGCTAAATAATTTTAATCATAAATAGACCATAATAGCGTTTTAACTTTCAAAATACGTAATAATTTTCTGGAAACTTTAAATTGCACAAGTGGTAAACTTTTCCTATTTTTTAAAAATATTTTAACATCAAAATTGGCTCGGACAAGAATAATCTACATGTGTTATTTAAATCTTGAGTTAAAACAAAAGGCTTGAAATAAGAATTTTTTTCAAGCCTAGATACTAAATCGTATTTTTAAGTTTGAAAAGAAGAAGGACGAGAACTGCTCTTTCGAGTCTTAAGAGCGATGATACAAGCACGAAAGCCATCCAAATCGTTCAACTATGTCTGGTACTACAAGCATACTCAATAACTATCTGCCGGTGGCGTGTAGAATCCGCGAATTTATCAATTTATCGTGTATTCCTCCCTGGCCGAAGGCTAGATGGGAAGATTGCCTGGAATGTCGCCAGGCGAGCAATCGTTCGTCCAGCTGGAAGGAGAAACTTGCGAGGCGCGCCCGGCGCCTGGAAGCCTTTGTGAAAGAAAGTGGCGAAAAAGAATGCACGGAGGTGGACTTGAGAAAGAAAAAGGAACGTGGACTGTAAGGTGGACAGGAAGAGAGGTGGTGAAAGAAATGGAGAAAGGAAGAAAGGAAGAGAGGAAGAAAGGGAGAAAGAAAGTAAGTAAGGAAGGAAGGAAGGAAGGAAGGAAGGACAAAGTCTGGAGAAGACCACGAAATATCTGTCAATCGCAAGAGCGGGGAGGACTACGGCGGCGAAGTCGATTTAACGCCCGTTAAGGAAGCAATTCCTTTAAGAAGGACGAGCGTCTCGCCCGCAAGGACAACGTAACCCCGGAGAGATCCTTGACCCTTGCCGGGTCTTACGACCTTTTCTCCACAGGGAATCGCTTCCGTGCCGCCATTATCGGCGGACGAATAGAACATCAATAACCAATTTCGTAAGACTAATATCGCGAAAATTAGTTTTCCCTCCCCGAAAGTCCTCTCCCGCGCGTCCTTCGTATTTCACCGTCGCGCCGCGCCAGTACCTTTCGTTAAAAGATCATGGTCCCGCTCGATAGCGACGTTCATGGTTTTCTTAATGTCCATTCACGGGTGGCGAACGATCGTGAATCTCCTTTTATCGTCGCGCAGTAGTCGTTTTTCTCCGCATCCCTTCTTTTTTTTAATACTCCACAGATATATCGCGGCGACGTCATTATACGTTACGTCATTTACGTCGCGTCGGAGCGACGTGGCAAATTTTTTAACTGGCATTGTTCCCGGTTTACAGGAATCTCAACGACTAATTCAGTATTTTTAAACTTCACAAATTACTACACAATGTGTATTTCCTGCTGAAAGAACCGTCATGTCAATTTATAACCTCGACGGATCGTTTATCGTCTCGCATTGTATATTACATAAATTTTCCAAGTCCGACGCGCCGCCTAAATTTTATGGAAATTTCACGAGAGCGAGATGGCCGAGATGTCAACAAACGCGTCACGCCCGTGTTGGAGACTTATATTGTTAGCTACGATCGCGTCAAGTTTCGCGGTATTACGTCACTCGAGGAGATGGCCCATCAAGCGGCGATGGCTCATAAACCGTCGACGATGCGTCGGCGCGGCGGCGTCGCGTCGGCGCGAATCCCGTCGGGATGCAAATTTCATGGGTTTTTCCAATGGCGTTGATGAATAAGGAATCGTGAGGTCGCGCGCCGTATGCAAGTAACAAAATGAAGTACGGAAGGGAAGAGTGGCGTAAAGACCTCGTTGGAAAACTAGGTTTCATCAAGCCCTGGTCCCCTTTTCTCTCAGCCCTTCTCGCTCTTTCCCCTCTTTCTCGCCCTTTCTCGTGTCGCAATCTCGACTCCTTTATGTATATACATTCGCTCTTATCAGAACGTGCGCTTGTAGGGGATGGCCGACACCGGAGAAGGCCCGAAACAGAATTTTGCGTACCAAAGTTGACGGAGCACCCGCCATGCATTATTCCACCCGGTCCTTTGTGCGCGCGTCGTGCCGTCGTCCCGTATCTGTTATGTGTGTCTCGGTTCTCGCACTTTTTCATCGTTTTCTTTGTTGCTGTCGAATGTCGATGGCTGCCGCTCAGTAAGGAAATCGACTGGCGCATCCACACATGCACCCTGCCTGTTCCCCCCCCTCTCTCTCTCTCTCTCTCTCTCTCTCTCTCTCTGTTAACGAAAATTGCATTTAAGCAATTTTGTCTAAATAATTAACTTAGAATTAATAGTATATTCATATAAATATATTACTGTATACTATAAATATAAAATAAATAATAGAATAATTATGCAGTCGGTATATTGAGCGAGTGACGTGTCACGAACAAAAGCTAATCAATTTTAATAAATGTCACTCGTCCATATGTCACCGGATAAATTTGCAGTATTAAACAGACGCTCGTTGAAGCTATTAAGTCGTTGAGCATCAACATGAAATGTGCCCGTATGTTTATTTGTCATTATTTTCAATGTCTAATCGGTGTAATCACGTAACAAATTAGACCTTAGAGTTTGTTAAAAGTCTTCTTCTTGTTTTTAACCTGTACCTCTGTACCTAATTTCTCATTTACAAAGGTTTTCCAGAAGAGCTGAGAGAAACGATTGGATGCCTCGCGATTCGCGACATAGAATCGGCAACTTTGACTCGTCGTACGAAGATTACGAAACAACATGAAGAGAGGGACGAAGTTCGTCGTACAGACCATTAATCTGTCCAATCCGAAAACATGCGTAAAGCCGAAGATTCAGAGACTCGTTAGTGCGGATGCAGATTCCTCCTCCGATCCTAATCGCGCGAGCGATTACCGGACCCTTAGACCGGTGGCGGTTAAAGTTTGCTCGTGGAAAGATGCGCAGAGCAAGTGCCCGCCAAAGGTGAGAAAAGATTATCCAAGTTTTCAAAGGTTTAATTAGTTTTGGAATCGCAAACACATCTGACTGTAAGAAGCATTATGCGTAAATATTCATACAGTAATACGTCATGAAATGTTTGAATCAAACTTGGAGAAAAAAGTATCGGCGCATATATACATAAAAATGTCGCCGAAACGTTAAAACGTCTCTGACACATAAAAATATCGCGATAGAAAGAGGAGAGTGCGAGCGATGTCTAAATTTTTGGCACGACATTAGATACTCTATGTCCTATGCCCTATGCCCTATGCCCTATGCCATACATTACACGCGAATCGCGAGGCATCCAATTCTCGGTTAAATCACGTGGCTTGTCGCTGTGTCGGAGCGTTCACTTGGCTCTCGCGCGATATTGACACGCCGCGTAACCGGCGTAACGAGATGATGGTGTTCGAGCACCTATACGGAATTGGTTAGTCGATACGTAGTTGCGTTTACCTGGAATTAGCTCGACAGTCGGTGTACCCTAACTATAGCGATGGGTCTCTAATGGAGGAAAGCGGTCCGAGCGGTCTCTGTAACTGTTACAGGACATTATCGAGATCTTGGAACAGGAAGTCGAGCTGCACAAGAGATGAATAGCGCAGAATAGCAGAAGACGTGGCATATTTATTTCCGTAATTCCGTGATACTTTGATTTTAGAAATATATCGCAATAAACGATGTTACCCGCGTAATTAAAACGGATAATAAATAATGAGTTTTAATTAATGTGTCTAATTGTCTCAAATATTTATGGTTTTTTATATCAAAATTTAATTAACTTTATTACGTCACTTTACTTATACTTATAGTATTATTTGATATGCATAATTATTTAAATAAATAAAGATTAAATCCAAAAATTCTGAAATGTCTGATGTAATGATGAAATTTGGATCAGATATATCTATAATGATGCTAAACTATTTGTACATCGTCTTTATTCATGCAGTTCTGCGAATCTCCTCAGGAGCCTCCGTCACTTTCGACCAACGCAATACTTTGCAGGGTTGCGGCGTTTTTTATAAAAGGCGCTATCGTTGCTGCTCTCATCTGTTGGACTTGTTCGGAGGGTCTTTGGGGCGACAGCACCGAAACGGAAGATCTGTATTGCAGAATGACGGGCGTGATTTTTCCCGAACGGCCGGTAAATAAATGTTAAATTTACAAGCGTTAAAAAAGAATTGCATGCGTGGGTTTCGCTTACGGGTTACGGCTTACGGTTTACGTTGACACGTTATCTTTCGTATCTTTCGCGTAGATCCGCTTGCCGCATCTCGAGGAAATAAAATACTCCGTGTTCGAGACGTACAATCACATGCTGGTGAAAGGCATGGATATTATCGTCAGCGTGCCGCGAGAGGTGCATCGAAGACTGCAAGGTCTCTTACTGCCGTGCGACACAACGAAGGAAACGGAGAGGACGCAAGCGAAACGGAACTCTGACGAGAATTCCGTGGAAATGTAATGTCGCAAATTGTGCGTATCAAAATCCGAGATACCGCGTTGCAATGGATACATACATGTATACGATATTTCTCTTTCAAAAAGTTAGTACAAAATCTTTTAGTCTTGATATTGCGCGGAATTTGAGTGAGAACGTGAATTATTGTGAGATTAAAAATTCCTGTAGCGTTAACATGCGAATAAACGCACTTAATTTGCCATGGCCTTTGTGCAGGCCAATGAAGATATTCTAACGTGTCCTTTTCTTTCTTAGTTTTTACATACATACGTGGTGCTCGGTAACCGCGAATATATGAGACATACAGGATTAAAATTCTGCGCGACATCTTTTCCATTTTTTTTCCTCCTCGCGATGCTCAAGGGCTCAAGGGCACACGAGGGAGTTGGCAAGGTGTGCATATCAAGCGATTTTTATGGCCTGCCTATGTATCGTTGTAAAATCTTGGATAAAATCTTAGAAGCCGAGATAAAAATTCGCATTTTCATTACATGCATCTTCACGTATCACGTATCCTTCCGCGTTCCGCCGCGCCGCAATGTTTTAGAGCGTAAATGTTACACCATGTATATACCTACATGTCGCGATATGCGACACCCTGCACCACGCCTGCACGTATGATGTACGAGCTGTTAATGAGAAAATACTTTACGAGTTGGATTCGCGCGGTCGAATAGCGCGACGCATCCGCATTCGCAACTCATAAAGATACCTAGATCTAAAGAAAGGAAAAAACTTACGTGTGAGACCAGGCTTCCTCGGGCATACAGGGCATACCGCGAATCTCTCAAAGCCGCCGCTCCGCTGTGAACTGTGAGCTGTGACTCCTCACGCGCCGAGTATTCCTTTTTCGTCGAACTGGAAGGAAGTTTTGGTCCTCATTTTTCAGGCGCGTCTATCTTCTTTTTGCGGCACGTGAGCGTCGTTTGTCAGGGCACCTATTTTACTTTATAAGCGCGCCTTGTTTTCGTGCGCGGGCGGCGGTTGAATTTGTATATCGCGTCGTTGCGCGTGGAAAGGTAATACCAGCAAGACCACTTGACTAGATATCGCGGCTTAAATGAACACGCCGGAGGGGATTCGGACAATTAAACAGTTTATTCAGATCAAAACATGGTGTAGTATATACATACGAGTTAGTTAAACGATATCGGGTCGGGGGTGACGGACAAGGGAGGAAGGGAGCAAGGGAGGATTCCGAGGGTTGAGATGTGTCTGATATGAAATCACCTATACAGTGAACTTGAGGTTCGGGCTTACGACCGCCGATCGATTACATGGACTCTCTCGCGTCGTTACGTACAGTTGATTATGTACAGTCACATTACTCGCTACTGTTACTTTTCTTCTTTTTTGTTCTCTTCTTTGCGCTTGATTGTTGGGTCACGTCAACCGAGAACGTGACTTTCGGTATCTACTTTCGTGCGATCCTTCTCGCAACACGCTCGCTGAATAAGATCCTTGCGCATGTGTGTGAAAAAGATTGATATATCTCCGACATTCTCCACTTTTACAAAATGAATACGAGCAGTAGTACTTTGTCTTATTCTAACTCTCTCGGTCTGCTTTAATGCGTCACCTCCATCATCATCTCTCTCTCTCTCTCTCTCTCTCTCACATTCATAAACTTGGAACAAATTCGCGTGGACGTGAAAGATATGTGCCGTTGGATCGACCGCTCTCGATAATTTTTCGACGATCGTTAGATAACGATTGCTACCCAGACAGCACGTATGTCTAAAAGACATCTAAAAGAGATTTAAACGCGTCGAAAAGATATCTTTTAGATATGCGTGCTGTCTGGATAGATTCAAGGGATTGTCACAAACTGGTTAAGAAAGAGATTACGTAAAAAGTTCAGCATCAATTATTAAAATCTTCAAAATTATCGAACGCCTAGAAAATAAAATAAAATAAAATAAAATAAAATAAAACAGGATTCTTTGTTTTCTTGACAAGGGAGAACAATTGTGCGACAGAGAAATAACGAAGCTACGTTTTATTCGCCATAAAAGTGTTAAGAGAATTAAAAAATTTATCTTTCAACGTCTATATGCACACCAAAATCCGGTCTTGGCATCGTCGAAAAATCGCGACGCGACGAAGCGATTGTACGGTGGGCAGTGAATTTAAAAGATCTCGGTGAAGCGCGTTGTCGAGCGTTTTCGTGTCAAACATAAACGCCGATAAAAACAATTCCGCCCTCGCGCGGGCAGGCGACGGAAAGTTAAACGAGACGCTCGACAAGTCGTTTCGCCCAACTTATCTCTTCCTCTCGAAAACGTGAACGTCGTCAATCTATCGTTAGACTCTCCCGTGATATAATATATACAGCGATACATTAGTTAACGAGCAACCATCGTATTTGACCATTATCTCTTTATACACATCGAAACACAGGCACTCGACGATTGATTCGACGTTATTCGCTTCCTGTATTCCGTAACCGACTATTTCGCGTCGCCGACGCGACACTCGTTATTCATTCCTCGGTCCGTCACTCTCTTCCTCTCTCTTTTTCTTTTTTTTCTGTTTTCTTTTTCGTTTTCTTTTTACACATTACGAGTCTATCGATCATCCGAAGCGAGCGCAAACTTTTCCACAGGTAAAGTTCGCGTTATATCGTTTCCATTAGGGATACGCTTTTCGTCGATTCGTTAGTTCCATTCTCGCCGTAGAAGTTTCACGACTTCGTCGCGAAGTGTCACGTGGAAGACCAGTTTTTGCAAAACCTTACAAAGTGAAGCTCTCTTCGCGCGCGAGAACGCATAGAATGTCGCGAATGCTACGGCACCGTGTCTCTTTCAATTTCTCTCTCTCTCTCTCTCTCTCGTCGCGAATCGAACGCGAATAACGATTTAAAGGATTCATTAAAACTATGTATATATTTACACATACGCATACACACACACACGCACACACTCCGGTGAGAATGCTTTTTAGAACGTGTTTGAGAGTGTTCAAGTCTCGTAATAACAGTATTTTTTATCATTCAGCGGGCAGTACAGAAAACTCATATCAGCGGTAGAAAAATTTATAAATGCTCTATCACAATTACCAATAGAGTGTAATGTGCGCCTGGTCTTGTTTCCGTAAGAATCGTTTTCACTTTGTACGTTACGCGGCTCGGCGTAGTTCGGTTTTTCATCTCTCTCGAGATGGGACAAGAGGGTTGCCTCTTCTCTCAACTGCCCGTTAATTTATTTCTTTCTATTCGAGATCGTAAAAATTAAACTGGCAGTGAGACTACGCGATCGATACGATCTCAAAATTCGATATGTAGACGCGTTCGATATGTAGACAATTCACGAGCGCTTTACTTTCATCTCAAGGATTTTCTTGAATTTTAATATATCGTTATCATTATTCACATACGCAATATCGCGCGAACGTAAATATCATCGACCGCATTCGCTCGGTACTATCGGTACCGCGATGTGTGAAAGTTGTGCCCAAAAATATCGAATTCGGAGAATTTAAACAGGATATCGACGCCCGCCTCGTTTCCCATCCCCTTCCTCTCGCTTTATCGCGATATCGGAGCTGATCGTTCAACCTTAAAACCGCATTTCACGCCTTCAAACTACACGCCAAAGTGGCATCGAGCATTCCCTTTCTTCTTTTCAGTCCGCGTTTCCCTCCCGCCCTCCTCTCACCCTCCTCTCGACTTCTCCTCGGTTCCTCCTCTATCCCCGGTATATTTTCGCGCGGTTCCTCCATTCGTCTTCATTCGAGCCATCGGAAAAGGGGTTCGTTCGAGAGCCTTTTATCTTTTCTCGTGTTTCACGGCCTGATGCTTCCGGACCAACGTTTCGTTGGTATAAGGATTCGGATTTATTTAGGGACGTCGCGAGATGCTAGCGGTTTCGCGGTTTCACGGGAAGATATATATAAGAAATAAAAAAAAAAGAAGACAAAAGGAATAATAACGAACGAAGGATCGAACAAACGATTAATGCGGCCGGAGAAAAATTATCCGAGGTCAAAAAACATTTAGTAAAATAAATGTACTTAATTGGCTGGAAATGAAAAGAAGAAAAAAAAGTAGAATTATTTTTGCACCGTACATGAAATAAAAATTGATTCTGTTGGAGAAAATTCCAAAAGTGTGGTTGGAATAAAAGGGTTGGATTTTGATGTTCTTCCGTCGAGATACTTCTTGAAAACGTATTTTAAATTCGGTGTTCAATCCGAGCAGCTCTCGTTCGAGCAACTCGCGATTCGATTTTCCGTTCTCTCTTTAAGGTCCGCGATCCGCGACCGCCATAAAGGAGAGAAGCGAACTTGGAGAAATATTCGAGAAGACACACCGTCGAAGATCATCCCGGTTTGGAACAAAAAGGAGGGCAAAGACGGTTAAGTCGACGACCGAAAACAGAATGTTAGAACTTCGCAATACCTGACGAGGCGGGGTGAAGAAACTTGGACGAGTTTTCGGTTAACTTCTTCGCATACCTCCGCCCCTTTCTCCCGCTCCCCGAGGGAGAAACTGGCGCGGCGATCGTGTTTCGGAAACAATCGCGACGGACGGTGTCTCTCTTAATTTCGCGGACGTGGACTCGGGACTCGGTACTATGCCCGACGCCCGATACCACGAGAACTCGCCCTTCCGTCGCCGTCGCGCGTCGCCTCGAATCGGAAAATCGGATCGGACGGCACCGGACTGATCGGACTCGAGCGAAATCAATTGTTCGCGAGACATAATGTCGATCCCCGACCCCGACACGTAACGTATCCCGGGCGTCCAGGGCATCCTATCGCCCGGGATCGATCGCTCCAACTACCCCGCTGTAGCGAGTCCTTTCCTCGTATCGCCGAACGAGTCGATCGCGCTGGAGATCGTTAGCAAACACGTTAAAGCTAACAGGCGGCTGTCACGAAAACGGACAACGCAAACGCTTTCTCGGGAAGCGGGACCTCGAAATCGTTCTTAGATACGCAACGAGTACTCTCGAGCACGTTCGAGCCTCGCCTCTCGCTGGGATCTCGTGCCGGCCTCCGATCTTCGATCGCGCCGCACGCGGTAGTCGTTTATTCTTGATCGCTGTCGGGACGACGACAACGACGGCGATGACGATGGTACCCCATGTCAGCTGCGGACGAGTCGAGCTTCTAGACGCAGCTTTCCGGCAGCCTGTTCGCCATCAGTCTTCGTTTGATCGCCTCGCCGTCGAGGCATTCGCCGGCCACGACGACACCCTGTCCGCCGCCCACGACGACGCCTTGGGCGCCACCGATTACGACGCCCTGGCCAGCACCCACCATCACCCCCGTCACCGGCATTCCCGGCATCCCTGGCAGGCTCGGTATCGTGCTCCTCGACGGTAACCTCAGCTCGGTCGGCCTCCCCGTGAACTTGTGGCAGAGCTCGTCTATGCTTGGCGTAGGTCCGGGCGTGACCCAGTGTCCCGGGGGATAACCGCCTGGATAACTCGGTGGGCTAACCTCCACGAGGTTACCCTCTACAACACCGAAGCAGACGGGGTTCTCTGTTGGGAGCTGCAAGTCGAGTGCGTTATGGGGTGGAAACGCGGAGAATAAGTTGCGCTCGGGGGTGCGCTCCTCTTTCTCTCGCCCACCCTCGCGGTTCCTTATTCTTCGCCGATTCTTTATTTTAGGTCACGCGGCAAGGATAAAAGTTCGCTGCCAAGTCGCGATCGAAATTCCTATCTTTAATGATAAAACGTTTGGCGAACAGAGCGATATTTCATGCTTCTTTAAACTTTTTCATCAACTCTTTTAATGTGCTATCCTTGTGTAAAAATAAAAGCAGATACTCGAAAAATACTAGATTCCTGGAAAGACGATTCTATTCATCTTAATTTTGAAAATGGCAAATTAAATGTTTTTCCTTTTATTTTTGAACAAACTTTCATGCACTTTAGAAAGTACGGTTACCGGTTAAAACCGTGGTTAAAAGGATTAAACAAAAATCTTCCTTTAATTAAGTTTGATTGAAAGTATCATGTAACTTTTGAAATTTCAAAGTTAAATAAATACGGAATAGTTTATAGAATATAAAATAAAATAAATAAAAGCGGTATACGGAAATTACAATCTTAATTTTTCTACATTGAATTAAAAATCTATAATTTTTGTAAAGAAATGCTAAACGCGTCTATGAACATTTTGTAGGAAGATGAACAAATTTTTTCTAAGAGAGAGAATAAAATCTCATTGAGTATCCCAGATGGGTATGTGATACAGTTTTGGTATAATCACATTGTTTCCTTTATATTACAATTACGTATATGAAGACAATTGCAACGAGCAAGATGTATCGATAAAATATTTACATATTTACAGTTCGCAAGTCTTGGGCTAATTCCAAGTTTGAATGAGGCACGTGCCATCCTTCCCGTTCATACAGATGGTCTAAAATCTACGTCAACAAACGATCGTAATCGGATTCGCGCAGAAACTGTTTAGCGGGTATCGGCTTCGAAGAGTCTTACCGAACTTGTTCGGGATCACGTCGGGATCAGTCTCCACGGTCTGCTGAGAATTCTGCAAGGGGTATTGTTGGGGCGGTAACTCGCTGAGTTCCGCCGGTTTCTCGTGCCGCGGTTTTGCTACGCGCTCCCGACGTACTCTGACCACCACTACCAGGATGATGAGCACCAGAGTCACTAGGGCGCCAACCACGACGCCTATCAGCGGCGACAACACGATGCCGGCGTCCTGACCTGCAACGATAAGGCGACTTTTACCTTCATGTGTTACGAGCTCAATCAAAGATCGCTTAAAACTTATTTGCTCATTAAATTGCTTTATCAATTATACAGTTAAGTGGATACGGCCAGTAATCTATAATATAATAACTATCTAAATATAAAAAATAATAAATATCTAAATAACACATTTAGAAACAATTTAAAAAGATTATTTTTCACTCGTCCAAATCCGCAGCAACCGATCACTCTCAATCGCACGAATAAAATAAAATAAAATAAAATAAATTTCTTATAAATTGTGAGGCGTTAAATGTATGTACATTAATTTACTTCTTGCCTTTCTTAATTCCAGAAAAATATCTTCAACACGCTATTCCTATCGATCTATTAATAAGTGTTGCACATCATGCTTGTATTTTCTTCTTTATACTAAAAATTTTTTTATACTACGATCCAGACGCGATGTTGAATATTTAATTAAATCGGAATCATATAAGGCGAGAAAAGAATTACTGCTACATTGTTGTTAAGCCCACAGCGATCGAAGAATAAAATTAATGTGCGTATAATCTTCCGAGGAAGAGGTTATAAATTATAACCACACTGTGTCACTATAAAGAGAAGACGTTGCTTCCACCCTTCTATGCTACTTATGAGTCTCTTTCATTTTTTTCATGTTCTCCTTCTCTTCCTACAAGTCAGTTTTGCTATATACGTAAACACACACCGACTGACGCGACGTCGCCACGCCGTAGAGAAAACATTTTATATTCTTCAATGTCGGGATTACATCTGGCAGGCGGTATTTTTTTTACCGTCACGTACATGATGGGTTTTACCAGCATTCAGTATTTTCGAATCGTTCGTAGAATCTCAAGTAGTAATGGCAATGTGCGCGCAGCATCCGGCATAGAGTCCGCGAGAGACGCCGCCCTGATGATTAAAAATCACTTGCAATATAGATGCGAGCCCAGTCATGTAATATTCATTTATATCCCAAGGATTATGTCACGCATCAGAACAAATAATTATTTAATCTTCAAACACGAAATGTTGTCTCGTGTCAAAATAAGTTCACAAATTATTATTTTGTCAGTTAAAAAAAAAACGAGTTTTTGAATATATGAAAACGAACAGGCCTAATTATAAAATTTACGTAATATATATTTTTTATTTTTGTATTCTGATTCTTCAATTTGTTTGTATTACTCAAACATTCAAAATTATAAATAAAATTCTATCTTAAATCTCAGTGCCAATTATAGAGCCTTTGAAGTGGGTTAAACGCATTAGCATTAGAATAAAAACATGCGACGCTCCTCCGCCTTTGTCTTGCAAAATTTTGCGTGCCGAGGTAGACGCGCGATGACACCAGAGGTTTGCTCTATGGTTTAGCGCGTCATGTCGAAATTATTTCTCACGATCATGCACGATCACCGCACGGTATGAGAAATCTTGCAGCATTGTTTTTCGCTTTCAGGTCGGGTTCACGCTTCTCGCTCCCGTTCGCGCACACGTGATAGCGTCCCGCTTGATAGCGCCGGCAGGGCGTGGGACCGCGCCTGCTGTTTTTGTCGGATAATTAACAAAACTGCTTTCTTGCATCGTTCTGAGTTGCGATCAGGTGCGCTGGTGTGCGAAGCGGAGCTGCGAGCTATGAGGGTAGGTAGGAAGGTAGGTAGGTAGGTAAGGGGGCAAGGGGGCGCGAAAGAGCGCATACCGCTCGCTTGCTTTAATCTTTAAATTCTCGCCAACTTATTTACGTCGATTAAGCCAACTTCCGTCTCGCGAAGGCAGATGCACGCTTATATCGTGCGGGGTTGAATCACGTTGATATCGTTTAATGTATCGTTCCAGCATTAGAAAATATACAGTCGGTTTGAATATTACTATTTATCATTTCCCTGGCTGTTCTTTTAATGTGATTATCATTATAATATTTCTACGTCGAGATATTTTTTTAGCTCACAGATTTTACATTTTCTTTTGTCGGGATTGCACGCGGGTGGTGAGAGCTTGGCGAAAGTAGGGACGTTAGTATAGCGTGTTTTTACAAAAGACATTAATTATTATACAAACATCAGTGAAAAGATTCGGTAAGAATATTGAATAATTTTATTCGCTGAAAATAATGAATCTGTAAATTATTTCGCTATAATATGAAACTGTCTCGTTGCCACAAGGAAATGTATTTTATTATTTACTTAAGAGTAAACTCCGTTTCGCTTTAGCAGCAAATTTGTGTTTCTGCAGACAAATTTGCTCAGCGAGATTCTTCAACGAGACAAACCGTAATGTTAAATAATTAATTATGGCGGCTAGCTAACAATAAGATTGATTGCTTTCAAATCGAATAGTAGTTACAGTTCTCTCGCAACAACAAACCCTTCCTTTTTTTCCCGTTATGCTCCACGTAGATGACGTACGAGAGAAGTGGCATTGTGATGACAATCGGATCGGCCGTCTGAGCCGTCTCAGCCGTCTCGTCTGTGTGGCGTGCGGCAACTCTCGCCATACGTAATAAAGGCATATTTACACGTGTAAATGTATTAAAGCGCACGCTTGTGGCCGCGCGTCCGCGTGTGTATACGCGTGAGGTATTTTGTCGGCGCGTGGTGCGCGGTAATGCCCGTAAAACCCTGGGTTTAATCAGCCGGCTGCCTAGGGTACACACCACTGTGACCGAGCCCGTAACCCGAGGAACGTTCTGCGCCACGCGGCGGTATTATGCCGGGCATGTTATCGGGCCGTAAATGAGTTCCACGCCGAAACGCGCGACGCCGGCCGCGGCCCGCACCGTTCCAGCCGAATGCCGGAGTGGCGAGCTTAAGAAATTCGTAAACGCACAACGCTGCATCTCACAGGTGACCGTTTATATCCGTGCAAGAATCTCGAGATTGTCGTTTTACGCGTTGCTTATCTCGATTGCGTGCCGCTGCGCGAATCGCGAGTGCGGATAGATTTTCCGTTCCGGAAACGCGTGCGTATAGCAGGGAGATTCGCGGAAAGCCGCCAGGTATAGTCATGTCAGAACGGCGAGCTGAATTTCTTCCCGAGGGACCCTTCTGCGGTGCTCAAAATAAAAAAAAGCTAAACAACTGGGACTATTAGCATAGCTTGGCGCATACATGATTATGCGCTGTTGCGTTTAAAAAAAGTATCTCTCGTCGTATTTCGCATTGAAAGATTTTTTGTGAGAGCAAATGTATCCTGTTTGTAATAAATTTGCGACTTTTAATTTTATTTCTTATGTGTACTAAATGGCGCGATATTACTTATATTTAGAGTTCTGCGAATTGAACTTAAATTAAAAAGCATCGAGGAATTACCGAGGAAAAAAAGACATTCACGAATGTAAAATCTGAGTTTAGTATAAAGTTCTTATGCTATTATATAAATGTCTTAGCTAACTTTTTTCGCGACATCTCGCGCTTTTCAGTTAATCATAATCGCAAAGGCTATCCTTCTAATCACGCGCGCGCGCGCGCGCGGGGACGAAAAAAAGTCATGCCGCGCACCGTTTTGCGCGGGCTGATGATGCGAATATCGCATTCGACGCATAGTCGTTTTCATTTTTCGTGTAATTGGCCACGGCTTCGACTAGACTGTAAAGGAAGATTTATGGAAGTCGCAGCAGCACGTACAGCGAGCATGTCACGTGTGAGCACACATAAGCGACACGGAGTCCTATTGCAACGAGCTTAAGAAACTCTCGTAAATTCATCCAGCTCTGTGGATGAACTGCAGTAAGGCTTTTGACAATTTAGTTGAAGAAGATTTATAATGCCGGAGTATCGCGCGTTACTTTGACGGCTTAAGCTTTTAAATATTTCATTTGTTTCTCCATCATTTTTCGACCGCAATACGACTCGCTGTCTCGTTTTAATACACCTCGAGTTTCAATTACGCGTCATTTCGCTATGTCATTTTGTTCCCTGTTCAAGCTCCTTTTACTATCACACCTATCGAGAACGCAAAAATATTGTGATTTGGAATTTAATTTAAATTGTCGAATTTTCCACATTTATTAAGGCTTGTATTGGTCTTGCGCTCTGCTCGCGATGCCTCGCGTGCGAGCGTGTGTGTTTTTTTTTCAGATCGATGGGTAATTTTTCAATTTATTATTACTTCTATGGAACTTGCGCTCGATGGGGAATAGCTACAGTTAGCGATCGTATACAACCCTAAGCCTCCGATACTGTCTCGTAAAAGTTGCAATGGAAGTTTAATCGAGTTCTACGCGGAGAAACGTCTGGTGCCAGGGTAGTAAAGATAAACCGGTCCTTATATCGTCGATCCTTGAGAAAGGACTAACGGGATTCTCGAAGAGGGAGGGAGACGGAGAGAGAGAGATCGCATATCCTAGCGGGTTCCCGAATCCCAAGTTCATCGAAGTTTAGATCACTAATCGGACTTGCAGTAGGGTCAGGAATGGAATCTAACCACTTGGATTATTTGGAAAAAATATCCCTCTCGACGCAGATAGGGAGAACTTAAAAAAAAAAAAAAAAAAAGGAAAATTCCGATCGTCCAATCCGAAATGTTGCGAAAGTTTGTCTATCTGTCAGTAACGCCGGAAACTTTTCCTGTATTTTTGATGGATCGTTATCTCTGTCGCTTATTTCTGCGAGATTTTAGGAAGATATGTATCTACTAACACAATATCTTTGACATCAATTAATTTTGTTATCTGACGTGGCAGGTAATCAAATGGTGGGTGATCAATCTCAATCATGTATTTCGTTATGTTGTGGCATGGATCGGAATTACGGTAAAAACTTGTTCCAAAAAATGAATAATTGCGTTACAAACTTTTAGTATGTGTTGAATTATTAGCTGTTGCCCGAAGATTTTGTTATTTTGGAAAGATGGTATATCAATAGTAATTTTGCACCAAGAAAATGACTTTGTGAGTCGTGTCTTGAGTAATCTATGAATTTTATTTAATTTTAATTAAATTTCATTCAAGTTTTCGGCATAAATAAAGGTATTGTAAGAGTAAACTCAGGATG